TATGGTTAGGATTAGTCTTGATTTCGAAGCCAATATATGGTTGATTATTGTCATATTGCACCATTTTCGACTCCTTTATAATTATCCTAATGAATGATCATTCCAAAATAAATGTAGGAGAATGCTTGATTATTTTTGGATCTTACATTGACCAGAATTTCACAAGATCTTCCCAATCTCTTGACAGGACGATAGCGTCAGTAACCACATAAATTAGTAACCGATCGAATTTAGTGACAAGCACAGAATCGCATGTTGATAAAAAATTTCTCACGTTGTAGTAAGTATATCGGGATGAAGCGAAGGTTGACGATTTAATTTTTGCTGGAGCTGCTAACAAGACAATGGAGCGGGTTCAAAACCACAGTCCGCCATGAATGAGAGCAAGATTATGCGATGTAAGGCGAAAGAAAATGTAATGAAAAAATTAAGCATTTTCTTTGCTCTATCATGGACACAGTTGCTGAGAACTGAGAGGTATAGATCAATTTGCACAACAATGCATTATAATGTAGTAAAGTAGAGCACACCAAATCTTTGGCCAATAATAATATAAGAGTATAGCTTGCCTCATTACCATGAAGTATGTTGTATTATGGTATTACCTAGTACCTTTGGGTATTGGATAACACACGTCACTACCATACAATGAGAAATGATGCTTTAGGACCATTTATAGAGTTAACCATTTCGTGTGAGACGAGGCTTTAGATGATAAATTTACCAGTTTTTTTGCCTTTCCCTTACCTCATAACCTTCTTCAAGGCTGGTAAATGTTTTCGGAAGTTACATGGAGAATCAGGATGAGGAGGCTCGATCATTCGAAATAAGACAGCCGCCGTTCAAACAGCAACAATCTGTACTGCATGGTGCTGAATGCGAGATATACGGTCAGTGATTTATCAACCTTTTTGTTACAAATGCGGACTTTTGTCTTAAAATGCAGGGTTAAAAAGAAAGAGTATGCCTTGTAGATTAGAGGACTTTCTCCATCTGAAGGTCAGGCCGCTACCAGAACAGACTTAGATCATTTTGCTAATGGATATACCAAGAATTCCTCTCGCCTCGTCTGTGCACACTTATGCAACTTTATTACACTTGGCATACGTCTCTATCAGTGTCTCTAGGGGCTGAGGACGATATCTTTTAACGATTTCTTTCCCAGTTCTTCATTCCTCCACCTATGGAAACAGCCATTAGGCCTTCTGAAGTACTTTTCCTTCATGCAACTTGCTTAGATCAACTGCCCATAACAGTTTTCCATAAGCAACTCGGCTCTCTGACCACGGAGCTTTTACATGATTTGTTAAGAAGCTCTTTATAGGAGATTTATTCACCAAATTTCGTTTAAAGTTCTGAAGGACTGGTAATTCAGATTTCCACGATGGTATGAGTATAGCTGGCATTTGCATTAAGTTAAACAGCCTTGCTTTCCCACTGGGTGTTCTCATCCAGGGTGGACTGCAGCTTTGAACTCGCCTAGGTCTATTCAACGCCTACAGCGGGACTCGAACCATGACAGTGCAGCGTGTAATCGCGGCACTCTAACCATTACCCCCCATTGCCGTAAATCCCATTGGGTCACAGGGCGAATGCGAATTTCATGGAAGGCCAGGCATTTTTCCATATCATATTCTTTGGGGGGATTGTCGCTGAAGTAAAGTTAAATTTGCTCTAACCTTTAACTACATTACTTATTTTTCGTTTATAAGTAGGACTCAGAGACTACCAGTATGAGTACACCTTTTGGGAGGACAAGGCTCTGTACTATTCAATGGAAGCCTCAGCTCTATTCATATGGTTTTTGGACAATTCTGCTACCAGTCCTTCATTGCCTTACCCGAAATGGGTTGAATACATCTTATATAACTGATTTGCTGTTAGTCTCGTAACCCACTTATCTTTTTATTCCTGATGGTCAAGTCGTCCGGCTTCAAATCCTCTTTGTAGTGCCTACCGATGTGGAATATTTTTGGTAAGCCTAAGCATGCATAGGTCGTGAAAATCGCCCAGGTATGATAATGAAAAGTGTTTGAAACTGGCCTTGTCCCGCAACCCTTAAGCAAGACTAATGCAATTTCGAGGCAATGCAAGCTTAATTTTTCTTGTATCTCGGCGCTTTATTACTCTATAACGAATTAATTTCCAACTTATTCATCTTTTCAGCATTGTCCAACTCTCATTCTTTTTGAGAAAACTAGCGGCCATTTCTTCACCTTTTGCTTTGCTGTCCTGTCCAGACTTTTGTCCTACTTTTATCAATTTATTAAACGGTCTACTCACAAACTTTAGTAAGTAGGCATGATTGAAGGCGGTGATTAAGACGCCACTTCCACGCATTATCTATTCTGCAGTGTCAATGAACTCGATTAACTTTCATGACTAGTGAGTAGTGTCAACAACTAACTAGCTAATTAAATAATAGAATAAATTTATAAATTCTTTAATGCTTGGACAGTTCTGAGCCATCCGCCGCCGATTCGAGCCAGCCCAGCGGATGCCGTTCGAGTCGACTGCCGGACGGAGGCAACTCCGAGTCATCTGGGCCTGTCAGCTGATAGTAAAGAGGAGGATGAATCCGTTGGCCATCTTCACAACCACCTGATGCTGGCGTTGCAGGCACTGGAGACTGAGCAGAAAGCACGTCTCCTGGCAGAGGCCAGACTCCGGGAGCTTGAATCGACGTCACGAGAAGATACGCCTAGATCGAAGCAGGTATGAAATAAAGTATTTGTTTATGCATGTTTTAGATCTCTTCGGCTATCTTTGGAAGGATTCCGAAGGGAACAAGGATCTCGGAAATAATTCAGGGATGTCTATTTCACAACTGCTTTTAAGGATTTTTCCAAATGTCCATAATGTTTGTTTAATCGGACATTTGTTTTTGTTTAGAATGCTTATTTAAGTTAAATTTTATTTTGGTTTGATTTAGTTTCTTCAACACAATCATGTTTACAAGACGACTGCGTCCACAACCATTTTATCATGTTTTCTTCCAGCATGAGACATTGACTTGGCATTTTGCCAGAATATTCGCAAGTGAGAAGTCCCATTCTTAACATCGAGCTGCAACTCGTCTTACATGCAATCTTCGATTCAACAATGCAGCTATCTCTCCTCCATCCCGTTCTGAAATTTGTACTAGCTTCTAGCTTTTTATCCATCTTTTCTCTCTTCACCTCTTTATGATAGCCTTTTGCGTTCCAATGTATTTTAAGGTGTTCCCTTTCAAGTTGATTCTATCAGGCGCAATCACCGTTTGGTACCAGTTTTTGTTTCTGCATGCAGTGTTGCCTTACTTTACTTTCGAGGTGAGTAAGTTTCGGGGCAGTCAGTAGCATTTAGATGAGAACTTAGTCATCCTAGTCCGCTTAAGGTGATTTGAAGACTGATAATTGAGGTTTCCCATAATGTGATAGATAGGCCTCACTATCTCATCTGTACCTCCAACGGTCTTTTATACTTTATTCCAAGGGGTCACAGGGAAAATGTGACATTTAAGGCAGACCAGGCCTTAGCCAAATCACACATTTATACAGGATTTGTCGATTAGACAAACATGTATTTTTTCTTCGTATTTAAGTAGAGTTTCGAGACTACCAGTTAATCAGTAATATGAGATGTATTGCCCCTATTTCGTTCAAGGTGATAAAGGACTGGTGGTAGCATTTTTCCACGATGATATGAGTAGAGCTGACGTTTCCTTTAAATATAACATTGCCTTGCTCTACTCATATCATTTTGGGAAAATTCTACTGCCAGTTCTTCATCACCGTGAATACAAACTTATATTTGCCATTGTACTCGACAACGTTACTTATATTCGATAAAAGTAGGTTTCGAGACTATCAGCAGTTCTTGAATAAGAACCCTAGGTCGCCTAAGATTATTTTAAGAAATAAGGTTAAACGTAGTAGATCGTAGATATGAAGACCAGACGATGTGATCTTAAGCTTATTTGCAGTCTTCATTAGCTGTATATTGTTACTTTTTTCATAACTTGGTTGGAGTGACAAGAAGACCTTGTTGAAGGTACCTAGTCCTACGTCCTCTGCGATGGGCTTCATAATAATTCTCAGCCTTTAACAATTATTTCGGTACATTCCCAGACATTTCGGCGGCATCTTCAGTGATAGTTAGGAATTTTCACTTTGATAAGTGATGCCCCTATAGATGGCGTCTCTAACAGACGATGCTGGCTAGGCGTCTCAGAATATACCAAGTCGGTAGTCGAATACTGGGAATTATAATGAAGACTATTACAGATTTCATAAGACTTGGTGTTTTCCACAAGGTCTGTCTGTCACTCTAAGCAATTAGCGATCACAAGGTCAAACCAACACTATGGCTTAGTGAAATTTAATGGAAATCTTGGAGCCTACTCATCTGATTATGGAAAATGTCAATTATCAGTCCTTAGATCTCTTTAAGTTATCTAAGCTGAATTAATTCTTATTCCGGATTTGAAGTATTGCCAAAGCTTTGGAATCAGAAGAAACTCGTGTTAAAGGTGGGGTCTTATTACAAGACCCAATTGAAGCAATACCCGCTTTGGAGGCATCGGAACAAATAAGGATACAGAGAGGTGAAGATAGAATAAATGACTACGTGTGATGAGATTCAGGGATGAGCTACGAGTCAGAACGCAGGGAATGAGAGATGACACAAGTGATTAACTGAAAGTTTATCAGGAGGATTGCATGTCGCTTTAACTAATTGTAGCTCGTTTACCGTAGCTTTCGCTGCTCGTTGACGATGCCAGTGAAACGTCTGGCAATGAATCTATTTAAAGGTCTCTTGCAGAGTGGAGGCATGACAACATCGGCGGAGGACTTAGTAAGTGATATATTTCTTCAGAAAACAGATCCAAGCCTTAACAGGGAATGAAGACTGCAATCAATCTACAGGCCAAGACACTCACGGTCCTCCTCTTTTTCAACAGAAATAAATACTTTTTATGCCCAGATTGGGCAACCTCACGAATGTGTTACGCAATCTCAGAGATTGCAGGAGAATTTGAGATAAGTTACGCTATGCTGGTGAATTCAGAAGATTGCATATATGGACTGGCATAATAAAGATTTGAGGTCGAAAATGAGAATGAGGGAAAAGCAAAAGAAGAATTATAGCAAATGAAATTCTTCTGTGGCTAGTAACAGAGGTTGCTGGCTATACAGAAGACTGTATGGGAAAATAATGACCGTTGGCTTTATCTTTAACTTTAATTGAAGGGGCCACAAATATTAATCTTGGGGTTAAAATAAGAAGAATGAAGCGGATCGGGATAATTTATGGGTACAGCATTTTTCAGACGTTAGTCATACCAGTTGCGAGATTAGACAACATGATCGCTTTTTTCCATCTCCCTGCTTGTCTGTGATTCTAGCACATACGAAGGTAAATGGATCTCGAATAATGACCTGAGATGACATTGCTCTGGAGGATTTCATTTGATATGATAGTAGATTAAAAAGAGATTTGTAGGTTTATCCAATGCTCAGAAGTGGCCGAACACATATCAGATGTTGGACATGAGATATAATGGTCTTAAAATAGTATATTTGCTGATTATGCTAAGGCTGCTGTTAAAAAGAAGATAAGAGATGATATTGAAATTGATAGATTAGGAAATGCGTTAAATGTGAGGAACGGAGGCAGAAAGTTTATTCAGAATCAGTATGCTTAATTGCTAGATTGAAGGGAGAGAGAGAGAGAGTGTGTTGACAAGATCAAGGTGAGGTTGAAACTGCAGTCCACTCTGAAGAAAAATATCTTTTTTTGAAAGCAAGGCCATGTGAAATTCAAGGAAAAAGTTAGATCTTTTTATATCACTGTGGGAAAATTAAATCCCCATTCCTTCATCACTTTAAACCAAATAGAGTGAATGCATCTCATAAATATACAACCCTAAGAATCTTGTCAAGTATAG